TATATTTATGTATAAATTGCTGTGTATTGCATTTAAAAACGGTCTGTGCAGAGATGATGAGGATGATGATGATGATGGTGAAGATGATCGCAAAAAGAACTACTTCAGCGCTACTGTGCCAAGTCTCTCTGTTACGGATTTTCAGAAATACTTTCAGCTCACACAGACCCAAGTTGAAGTGAGTATACTGAGTGTTGTTTGACCTAATCAGTTAGTTTATCTGCTTGTTTTGCATTCGGATTTCATTTGATTAATTACTGAAACTACATGACATATTGTGCCCCATTATACCATATACCATGCATACAGGGTGGACATTATGATGATATTTCATTTTTGTTGCATTACAATATGCTGTTTTGAGCATTTTTGAACATTTTTTGATATTATTAGTACTTGAAGGGGAATTCTGACGTTGCAAAAAATTGTGGTGGACCAGGGGTCACAATGTCTTTAATGCAGATACAGACATTTTATTTACTATGCAAACCATCTACACAAATCTTACGAGTTGTATGTGTATCGCTGATAATTTTAGATTGACCACTATTTTATAATTTTCTTTCAGGACTATTTTACTTTACAATACCCTGCATGTGCAGTCCTCTCTGGAATTATTGGCACCCCTCCAGAAACAACGTCTTATAAAAGGAGCTCTTGTGAAAATCAGTGACATGATGAATTTCACTAAATACTTGGAGACTTTAGCCCAAAATCTGTCTGCTTTTGCAAGAATGCTAAAACTTTACTGTGTGTGGGCCGTTCTGCAAGATAATGACCCCAAACACACACCAAAATTTTCCACCCTAATTGCATATTTAATGTAGCTTCTTTCCATTCTCTTGCAGGAGTTGGTAAGATTGCTGTCACCCTGTGAATGGGCCACCAGTAAGCTTGAGGGATGGACTGTGATGCATGCAGTGCTGGCTAGTTTGTGGACGCTCTCTACTTTGGAGTCTCACAGCAGCGTAGCAGCCCGCTTCCACACTAACGAGTCTCTAATTTGCCACCAGCTTAAAGAGTTCTGCACTCATGTTACAGCAAACTTTGCTGACAAGATCCACTGGCCCAAGTGGAAGGAAGCTGATTCTTCGGTGTCTGGGTTCTCTTCCAGTATTGGGTTGCCAGGTACTGTTTGTGTGGTGGGGTCCTGTGTGATCCCTATTGAGAGGCCTGCTGATGTGCCTGATCCAGAGGCCTATCGAGACTCTGAGAAGTCGTACTCTGTAAACCTCATGGCTTTCTGCAACCACCAAGGTTGCTTTACCTATGTAACAGCAGAGCATCCAGGAAGCTGGCATAACTCCAGAGTCCTTCTAGAGACAGAGGTTGGACGAGCGCTGCAGGAGGACCCGGTGAACCTGCTACGTGGGAGGCACATAATAGGTGATGCCACATTTCCGCTGTCAGAACATCTTCTCACACCTTTCCCAGATTATGGAACACTAGGAGAGAAGAAGTTGCGCTATAATTTAAAAGTGCAGGCTGGTCTTAAAGTGGTAAAAGGCTCTCTCCATGTTCTGAGAAACAAGTTCCAAAGGCTCAGATCTTTACAAATGAATTCCATAACCCAAACTAGCCTGGCTGTGAGGACCTGCTGTACCTTATATAACATGTATTTGGAGACCAATAATGCAGCCTGTATAGAATGCATGGAGGAGCACTCAGTCGCCCAGGAGTCTTTCCATGAACTACCTAATGGCCACTCTGGCAGTCTAGGAGGAATATCCAAAAGACAGGACATTGCAGCTTCGCTTGGGCGAAAGCCTAAAAGAGATTCAACGAAAGGATACTACAGACGGTGGTATGAAGTGTGAACATTTACAACACATTTGAAATGTATGGTTAATTTAACACAGTAACTGGTTGCCCTGCTCATTCTAAACTGATGTAAAGCCATTTTTATTATGTGTGCCATGCACAATTTGTTGATATACATGTTGTCTTGTGGTACAGTCTGATTTCACTGTGTATTTTTTAATAAGGTGAGGCCATTGATTAATATTTTGAGGCCCTGAGCTAATATGAGTCCACTTGTTAAGGTTCTTGTTGCCATGAATTAATCTATTGCGACCACATGGCCACAAGAAACTTTACACATGGCCTTAATATATTAATTTGTGGCCACAGGAAACTTAACTCGTAGTCACCATGTCACCTTAAGGATGCTGTAAATATGTTACGGAATATGTATGTTGTATCCCATAGCCCTTTTGAAGTATTAATGATTTTATATCATTTACATGTTTTCCTTCTTCAGTGTTCTCGCACTACAATACCCAGCATGCATTACGCAAATAGAAGAAAACATTTCAAACAGTCCACCCTCAAGTGTCTTCCATAAAATGCAGTGTAGTTTTTTTTTGTATAGTTTTTCCCACCTTCAAAATGCATTATCATCCATAAAACAGAAAATCTCTTACTAGATGTCAGTAGGCATGTTTACAAGTTATAATGATGGTTATATTATTCATTTTGGCTAAAGTGTTCCTTTAACAGGTGAAAATATTTTGAATGTAAATACACCACAAGATTATTCTCAACACAAGGCTATTTTTGTAGATCGTAACCATTGCTACTCTTTCTTCTCATGGAAAATGGTAATGATTGTTTATTTGCTTTCTGAGAGAATGAAAAGAAAATTGTACATGGACAACACTGAATAATTGAATACTGAATAATAAAATGCATTGCTTTCCTTCTGTGAAAGTGTGAAAATACACTATGGGTTATTGTCTTATCTCAGACAATTATCTTTATCTTATATTAATATGTATTGGACTGTTTAGAATGTGTCCTGGCTTAGGCTGCAGTTCGCAAAACAAGTATATTATGAAGAAAAGAATGAACCCAATTCAATCCTGTAACAAATCTAGCCTGCTATTACCCATATTCACAGTATGTAATAAGTTAGCTGAGTATTTCTTCCTAGGGGGTAGTATAGTGTTTCAGTGGATTGATCACGATAGACCACTTTTAGATGCCCATCTTAAGTAAAGATAAATAAAAATAATGGAATTTAAATCTTAGTCGTTTTCAAAAAGAAAAATATTGGCTGGGTATCAGCTGATACTCAAGGTTTCAATATCGGAAAAGGAAAAAGTGGTGTTGTGCCATCTCTAGTAAGACCCTTGATTCCCTTAATTCTCTTAGTCCTGTTTGTTTGTGCATATTACAGACTAAAATCAACTCTGTCTCTTAATGCGGTGGGTTTTACAAAGCCTACTGGGTTGCTTCATAATCCCACTCCTGCACATGTTTTACATTTGCACATTTTTTTGTGTTTGCCCTTACCTAGCACACTTGATTCAGCTCCTCAGCTAATTAGCAAGCTCCTCGTGTCCTGAATCAGATGTGCTAGACGGGGACACAAAAATGTGAAGTGTATAGGGCAGGGATGGAATACAGACTGGGCCAGTGCCCTGTGACCACCGAGGGCCTCAGACCACAAGGGCTGAGATGGCTCAAAAAACTGAAGACAGTCCACTGCAGGTGCAAAATGAACGACTGTCTCTTGAATATATGCCAAATTAATGAAATGAAGGACCCCTCCGCCCATACCCTACCACCATATTTGAAATTATTAAAAACCCACGTTGACCAAAAATGTGCAGAAATATAAATGTGAAGGAAGAAATGTGCTATTGCACATTAATTGAGAATGAACTATTTTGTTTTTTATGTTACATTTCAACACTTTTCCATTTCTTTTTTTGCATTATTGTCAGCTTAGTGGGGGCTCCCGAAGCGACTTGTGTCCGGGGGCCTTGTGAAACCATAGTGAATCTCAAATGGCTCCCTACTACCTATATAGTGCACTGAGTAGGTTATGGAACTATGGGTTCTACATCCAAATATTGCAACAAATGTAAGCTGGAGAGTTGTACAGCCTATAGTTGAATATAAATAGCTTTCTATTAAACAAATAATGCACAATTTGAATGTAGAAACTGTTATTTCATGACCCACAGAGTGCACTATGAAGGGAGATGGGAGCCATTTGAGATTCAGCCCAATATGGGGCGCTCCAGAAACCCAGTTGAAATCACTGGATTACTGTAAATTAATTTGCCAAGTCTGTTCTATAAACGTAGAAGTATGCTGCAGTTCCCTTTATGTCATAATTTTATTGATTACTTCTCTTTTATTGACATATTACAGGCTAAAAACTTGCCACTGTTGTTTCACACTGCAGACTGGTTTAAAACAGAAAACGGTTGTTATATAGTCATAAATCAAATGTTCATCTGCGTTTACCGTACACATCTTATGGTTTATGTGTTTTAGTGCTCCATATTACAAATAGAACAGAAAAGCTAAAAAGACATGAAATTATTAAAGCACTTCATTGAGTAAAAGATTATATTTATGTACGACCCATTTACTGGTCAAATTTTTATTGTTATTATTTATTATTTTTTTATTTAAAAAAAAATTGTATTCATCTAAATTTTATTTTTTTTTACTTTGTTATTTATGTGTAGATGTATATATTATCCTTTCATTTGAATAGATCCAATATAAATGTGTATGTTTAATTCTTTCAAGATATAATTGGAGCTGTACATTTATCCCGTATATGATTGTTTAAAAAATTAAAATACAAAAAAAAAGAAAAGTTTTAGAGCGCATGCGTAGAACACGTATTCTAAAAGAGCGGACTCTTTCAGACGCACATTTACACGCGTCAAGCATCTGTGAAGTAAGCGAAATGAAGCAGATACATTTTTTTTAATGTGACAAAATAAAAGTCGTAAAACGTAAGCTCTCCTTAAAGAAATGCATTCGCAACTGCTACTTGGAACTAACATTTCGGGTGTGATTTTATAAAAAATACATATAAGATCAACATCTAAAGATATGAAACTGTAATTCACATATTTGTCAGAGTTTGAATGACAAAACCAAGTCTTTTATTTTGAGATTTGCCCCCCCAATATTTTTCAGAATGGTTGTAAGAGCCGCCTTCACCCTGCCTGTGTGCGTGTGAGCAGTCAGTCAGCCCGAGCTGAGGGGCGGAGGAGGAGAGGCGGCGGCGGCGGAGGAGAAGCGGGGCGACTTCGGTGCTGCTACGAAATGGCTGGGCAGCAGTTTCAGTACGACGACAGTGGCAATACATTTTTTTATTTCCTCACGTCCTTCGTTGGCTTAATTGTCATCCCAGCCACCTATTACCTCTGGCCCCGGGATCAGAATGCAGGTAATAATACAAGAAAGATGTTACAGGCGAGAAAAACATCGCCAGCTAAGTAGCGATAGCTAACAGCTAACAGTGTGCTAATGCGAAGCGTTATCTCTTTCCTACGTGATGACCGACCGCTAACAACCCTTATAGAAGACGGGTGTCTCGCTAACGAGTGTAACTGCGTGTAAAGTTCGTTTTCAAAGGCACGTGGCTGCGATACGTGTAATTTTGTAGCGAGTGGATTATTAGATAACAGTTTACGCGAAACGTGTTTGGTTCGAGTGTTGTTGATATGGCTAGCTAGTTAGCTAGTCTGTTAGTTTTAGCTAGAGTTGGAACCCTATGCAGACTTGTTGTATTGGTGTTAATGGGCTGCTTCGTAACCGTTTGTCGTGTCTGCCTTTTAAAATGCTGCCACTGTGATCACAGCAGTGGAGCTGAATTGTGAGCTGAATGGACAGAATTAATAAGATTCGTGTGCACTAACGTTACACACGAACGGCGATAAACGTTTCGCTAGCTAACACTGGTGAGCTAGCAGTTTAATATAATGGCTAGTGCGGGGGTCTGTGGCTTGCTTGCGGGAGTTTGACATTTTTAGGTTTGTAACTAGTATATAATTGAACGCTTTGGCTTTTTGACAGACTGATCGGTAGATTGACCTCGACGTTTTAACCTAACCTAGGTGGGGAAATGTAGGGAAAGTTTTTGCGTCTTCTTGCAGTGCTACGTTCACGTTACTGGTATTCAGCGTATTCGTATTGAAGTTAACACGCTAGGGGGGTCGCCACTAGCTATAATCGGAAAGCAGGTTGTCACCTCTGTCTCTGTGATTTTCTGGCAGTTGTAGTGTTTAATGTATCTGATTTGAACTAGGCTATTAAACTAGCTTGACAGCAACGGGATGAACAAAACAAATCCTGCTTATAAATAGTTATCTGGCTACTCGCCAGCTGATGTGTCCAAGCAATCACGTCTTCAGTCTGACGTGTCGAATTGGAGGTTGTTACTTGGGTGATACGACGTAGCCTAGTATCTGATTCGACAGAGGAGCTGATCATAGATTTGCACTAACATATGCACTAAATTGTCTGCCATATAGGCGGTTTCCAGGAATATGATATAATGCCAGGAATTCCACCTTGCTGTTGTTGAACCCATCGATCTTAAAGGGGAATTCGGCCGATTTTTAACATATTCTGCAAATGTCGTTGAGACGTAATCAATGTCATTCAGAGTGGTTTGATGTGAAATGGTTCATTGAAAAGAAACTTACTAATTTGGATTTATTTACAGTGGTGGCCACAGGAACCAGGGGTCGTGGTGTCAATAGTGCAACTATAGGCATTTTATTTACTATTCAAAATGTCTGTTAAACCTGTTTGATGATGGTAAAATAGATATAAATGTTAAAATTATTTGGGACTATATTGCTTTAGTGCTTTTCCTGGTTTAACACACCCACTTTAACTCACTAATGAGCTGATTAGTTGGATCATACTAAAAAGTGCAGGGCAGTGGGCCTCCAGGACCAAGATTGAGAAACACCTTAGCCTTAAAACACACTTCATCATAAATGAATGGAGGAAGCTTTTAGAGTTGGATGTGTGGTTCCTATCACCATCACTGTGAAGAGTTCTGGCTCAGTAAGTTTTTTCTAGAACAAAGCATTTCACATCAGACCACTCTGAACGACTTTTGCATCTGGTTTAATTGTAGAGAACGTTTGCAAAATCAGTGGATTTCCCTTTTAAGCTACTGATTATTACTGAGAGCTCATTTGCTGGGCTACAGAGAGAGTGCAACAAAACAGTCAGTGCATGTACTAATGGAATTTGTAACTCAATTTGAGAGATTTTAATTCATTTGATTTGGTTTTTAACTTATGTATAAAAAGTGAGTGTCAGGTGCTCTATGGTAGCAAGGCTGGATATACCAATACCAATTCACACCAAGGCACCCTTGCATGTTGTACTTAAAAATTAAAATGTACCTTTATTTTCATGGCAAATCTATTTAGGAAGCCTTTCAATGTTTCTTAATAGGTTTGTCATGGAAATAAAGGCAATTTTAAATCTTTAAGTACGTAGGAGTACCTTGGTGTGAAGTTTTAGCATATGTCATATATGGATATAATCTATTATACTCAATGCAGGGCTTTAATGATTTCATTTAACAGAAGATATGTCTTTTTAGCTTTTTTGTTCTGTTATATTTGTAATAAGGAGAAAAAAACGTGTTAGCCAACATCTTTGCTCATAAAACATGTATTTTCTGTTCTTTCAGGCAGTCAGATGTTTTTAACACAGTATTTGCTGTCTTGTTTTTGAAATTTCCCTCATGCATATTTTAGTTTTTAAATAACACACATTTTTACTGCTTACAAGGGGCTCAGTAGTGAATTGTTGGGTTGAGCAAACTGTTGAGAGCAGGTAGAACACTAAAATGTGTGCAGTGCAGGAGGCCTCAAGGGATATGGTTTAGAGAAACTGTTAGACATTAAAGCCCCAAGCAGAAATTGCCAAAGCCGCCACAGCATCCTCAGTAGAGAATGTTACAAGGCTAGATTTGGTCTTTAGGGAGCTATTGATACAGTTTAGGGTAGCGCTGAATGATCTGGGGAAAATATCTAATTGCAGTTTTTCTGACCAGTGTTACGATTGCAAATTAAATGCAATTATTTTCTATAAATTAGTTTTTGGCCAAGAAGAGCAGTATATCCACCTTTTGTGGTATGATGCTTGAATGCACCAGACTATTAGTTTGTGATGGTTGTGATGTCACATATACAGAACAAGGGTGTTTTCTAGCTTCTAATTGGTCTAACTCATCTACAGGCAGTTCACGAGCTCTGTGTTAGGTTAATTTTCCCCATTTAAAACTTAAGACAACTTTGTTGATAATGTATTCTATTTAAAAAAAAAAAAAATTGCCCTAGTGTACGGTAGTCTGTCACCAACTTGAATATGTTGGTGTCGATGATAGATTGAGTCAGAGTTAGTTTGGAAACCTTAAAATCCACCTGCCTGGTTTATCACCAGTTGTAGCTGAGAGTTTAAAATAGGAATTATAGTTAATATTTAATGACCTGTGCAGGTTGAACTGGGCTTCCCAGAAATGTATTTTATACTTAGTAGACCTAGGTGTAGTCCAGAGGAGGCTGAGCCCGTTTAGGTAACTTGTAGAATCATAAATACTTGGAAGAAGGTACAGTGAGCGTTGATAGTGATAATGGTCAGTATAGTCCTGTGGGGCTATTGGGATGGATAGATAGTTATTTGATGTAGCTGATAAATGCTGCTTACTTACTAGTTGTTTTGTACTTGCAGAGCAATTACGATTGAAGAGCTTGAGAAGAGTTCATGGAAGATGTCTGTGGTATCGCCTTCGGCTTATGAAATCACAGCAGAGCATTGTCCCAACACTAAAGTAAGTATGATTTTGAGTATTTTTTTGTTTGAGAGACCGAGAAGGTGGTGGGTGCACCAGTACTGCTTGGTGGTACTGGGCTTATACTGCACTAAAAATCTTGTACATGATGTTGACACTTTTTGTTTTCAATGTGCAAATGAGTGAAAATAGCTCTCACAGCAAAGATAGAAGGAGTATAATTATACTTTCTGTTTGGACCTTTTAAAGAGATGCATTGTAAGTTATGGTCTTGGTGCATCAGCAGCTATTAATAGTAGAGCTGCTTTTTTTATTTACTGTGATGCAGTGAAGTGGTCGAGGCAGAGGGATCTGAGCATAGATGTCTTTCTTTGCACTGACAGTCATCTCTCAAAGTGCTTTTAATATTGTCAAACCAATGTAGCTCATCACCAGGCATTGTAGTGCACTTGCAGGGTTAAGAGATGGATATAATTTTTATATCTTGGTTTTTTTGTGTTGGACATGGGATAACGTTAAGAGTAGTTACATGAGCTGCATAATTTGTACAGAGGTTTATGGTTATTTTCATAATTCAGTAAAGCAACATATAAAAAAAAGTACATAATTCCTGTGAGAGTCACTTTGATGAAAAGCGCAACTGTTGAAGGGCAGACTGTTGTGCAGATGTCCCTTAGGCACTGACAGCTTTGGGCTGAAGGCATTTTAGTGGCTTGTAAGACATGTCTGTGTGCTTAAAACAGATCTTATGAACTCTGTCACATTTTCATTAAATGCCATTTTAATGATGTAGCACATTAACACAATAAATTATCAGCATCACATATTTAATGCTGTTAACGCATTTTCTTAGTTTGACACTTTCAGCCATCCGTAATTCCAGCCTGAAGCATGCCTGCTCACACACTGTTGCTATGACTCTGCAACTGTAACCCTCTCATTCAAATACTGCTTTTAAATGGCAACTTTCATTGATGGCTCGCTTCCTAAATGTTATTTCCAGCTACGTTTAGCCAGAAGCATCAAGCAAAACACAGCTGATGCAGCAACCGCTGCTGCTCTCGCTGGAAGTCGGTGGTGACAATGTGTTTGCCTTATTTTCATGTTCATCACATGATTTTTTGTTGAGGTTGAATTTAGTTTAGAGAATACATTATAATGAAGCTTATTTTGTACGGTTGCTGTTTTTAAATAGAGAAGCTCTTTCAGTGACGTTTGAGCAAATAACACAAATGCGATTGTGATTAATCAGGATTAATTATTTAAATCAGAAAGTCCTAACTTTAATACTTTAATCATGTGCAGCTTTGAGTTCTCAAAGCCACGCAAACAGTAGCAGGTACCATTAACTATTTTTCTTAAAACAAAAAATCTCATAATTTAGAACACTTGACAATTTCTTTGGAGCCTTTTTTTTCCTAGAGATCTGTGTCCAGATCAAATGACAGATACAATTCAGCAGGAGGGTTTCATTATACTGACAAAAACCACACTGAAATGTCGCATTGATCTCAATGATTGTTTTAGCTGTAGTTAATTTTTTATGTGCTGCATGAATATGTTCAAACTTGCCTTTGTACGGTTGAGAGTTCCTTTTAATAATGTTGCCTTGGAAACTATAACTGTATAAAATATACCTGTTATGAAATTTTTTCCCCCTCAGTTCCTTTCAACCTTGAGATTGAATATCTTGGTAATTTCATGTAGTGGTAGAGAAAGCAAATATATATACATACATGTGCGCGTGTGTGTGTGTGTGTGTGTGTGTGTGGAGAAGGGAAGATTAGATTTAGAGGCTCTGTTTGATGCTGTGTAAAGAGAATCAACTGTTCTTAAGTTTACTGTATACACTTATAACATATATACGTTACACATATAAATATGTCCTTTTATTTGTTTTTGTATCTCAACAGAAAAGCAGCCCTATTGTTTGGTTGGGCAGTATTTATCTTCCTGGCCTATAAGGTGTCTAAATTAGATCGCGAGTACCAGGAGTATAACCCCTATGAGGTCCTACAGCTGGATGCGGTAAGACCAACACTTTCTTTCTACAGTGTTTTACAGTACAGCCATATGCCTAAGTTTGGGCGCCCCAAACTAATGACGTTTTCTTAATTTTCTAAGTGTGCACAATTACTGTTTATATGTTCAATTTACTATATTTGGGGGGGAATAAATCGCACCTAAAATGTGGCCTGTGCAAATGTTACGGCACATTTTTATATTTTGAGTTGTTTTTCCCCCTGGTACTTTTAAGTTCAACTTAAAAATGAAAATTCTGCTCTAATATTTGCAGAAAAATGCCAGATTTAAAGTGGAATTCCACTGATTTTTCACATTTTCTTAATTCAATGGTTAAGTTGTAAACATATATAAACATATGTATTTGTGTCTATAGCACAAATATAGCCATTTTACCTGCTATTCAAAATGAGCAGTATGAATTTTTATATGTAATGATAATGATAACGTACTCATTAGAAAAGTATATGTTTTAGGCCAGAATCTTCAGTTTGTTGTCTCAAAACCATCATAAAACAAACCTTCAAGCATCATGCAAAGTATTTGTAACCATTTCATTTACTAGCTTTCTGTGTTGTAGCTTTTAGAGACATTAACTGCTTCGGACATCTGGTTTCTGTCACCACCACTGTGAACAATTCTGCCTCGGCAGCTTTCTCTAGACTGGGGCCTCAAACCACTCTGAATTACTTAGCTTATGTCTTGATCATTTAATTAAGTGGAATTCCTCTTTTAAGTTTGTTCCCTATAGAGGATGCTTTAACTTATTTTCGCTTAGAAAATCAACAAAAAGTGTAATTGGGGGATGCTCATACTTTTGCTTATGACTGTACACACATGTTGTGTATTCTATGTGAAGATTTCTTTTTGAGCAACCATAAGGAGAGTGTTCTCTTCACTGTTCCTTCTCAGATTCTGTATGTTGCATTGCAGAATGGGCACTGACTGAGGTCTAACTGTCTGTGTTTATGTTTTGTATTTGTCTAGGGGGCATCTGTGTCTGAGATTAAGAAGCAGTACAGAGTGCTGTCACTGAAATACCATCCTGACAAAGGAGGAGATGAGGCCTTGTTCATGAAGATAGCTAAAGCTTACTCAGCGTAAGGATTGTCACACTATGTTTGAGCTTCATTGTTCTGTTTTATTTATAGCGCTTCTGCTCATTTTGCCGTTGTGCCCCAAACTGGAAACAATTGCTCTGAACACAATGTGTGACACCATGTTGGATATGGGCCCCAGCCCACACAAACGCTGGCTTCTACAGATACGAGCTATAAAAGTTTTATTAATAATACGGAGCATCTGTTTTCAAGGACATTTTGATCACTTCAGCTTTACTGTGTTAAAGCTTGCACGTTATTAAATTCAGTTCTTTTTGGGTGCCTCAACAGAAACTTTAGCTAGAGTGTTTGCGATTAGATGTTTTTTTTATCTTAAATTTCTTAAAGCTTCACAAGAAATCTGACAGTAAATAAAAGCTATTTATATCAAATCAAATTAGTGTAATTAATACAGTATGTAGACTACAGTACGTGTCACGAAAACCAAAGATCATCCAAAGCAGTGAATTCCATTAATTATTTTAGTTTGCACTTTTATTTTTTGCGTCATTTCAAATACAGAGACTACAGATGGCTTTGCCTAGCTAAGGACTTTGCTTCTGTTTTTTTTGCTGTGTTTTGTATATCGAGCGAGATGTTTTGAAGTGTTATCAAACCAGTAGTTAAGTCCTGGGCCTCTTAATGCTTGGCATGAGCAGTGATTACAACTCACTTGTCTGTTGTCCCTCACAGAAACGAGGAAATAGTTCCACACGGTTGATGTTTTCACTGTTGGTCAGCTTTTGCTCAAACGGTTTGAATGTGTCTGCACTGACCAAAACATTTAGTCGCCGTTTCTCATTTTTATTACGAATAATTTTAATCATTTTTGAAGTCTTAGATTTCAACACTTTCTTGTAGGCTTGTTTAATCTGTATTAGTCTTAGATTTTGACACTACCTTTTTTTTTTCTTTCTCAAAGATTTCACTTTAGGCTGAAAACTGAAAGTGAATTTTGTTTTTTTGGGGTTTTTTTTTGGACCCGAAATTGTTTTTTGGCTGAAACTTGAAACCGTGCATTCCTAATTGGTTTTTCATAAGAAACTCTATAAATTTTCAACAGTATAATCTTCAAGGCTTCCTTCAATCCTTCCATAATCTTTATTTTGGTTTTGAACTGTAGTACTGTGCTAAAGTCTTAGGCACTTTAGCACATTGTTTAAAGATGTTTATCTTGGCAAAATGTAGTTGACATGTTGTGAGCTAATTTGATGAAGTTTGACTCCGGATGTCTGCTGGATGCCCCCAACCATTGTGTAGATGTTGTTAAACTTCATCACCAGCACTCTTGATTTAACATAATAAAGCAGAGATTTACCACATCAGGTACAAAGTTGTAACTGCAAATAATACCAAGGTGCTATGAGGAGAGGTTTGAAAATGGTTAATTGAACACATTGCCATGCATAGAACCCACCATGTATTGTACGAGTGTAATTTGTAGTTATTTTAATATTAGTGTTTGTCTGAGTATATAAACACTTACTCAGGTGTAAATTTCTCGGGTGCCTAAAACGTTTGCCGAGTACTGTGTATAAACTGAATAGATTTCTGTTTTGTTTCCTTTCGCAGTTTAACTAATGAGGAATCACGGAAAAACTGGGAGACTTACGGCAACCCAGATGGCCCTAGAGGTGAAGACCCTAGACATGACTTTTTTTATTATTATTATCATTATTAATTCTGTCGTTGCATTACATTAAGCTAAAATTCTGTCTCTATGTCTCCTCTCTTCTTGCGTTCTGATCGTTCTGCTGTCTAGTCACAAGTTTTGGAATTGCTCTCCCTGCATGGATTGTTGACCAGAAGAACTCTATGCTGGTAGGATGTCTCTGATATAATCGTTTGTTTTTTGTCTCTAAAGTTATTTAAGATGCCACATTGTCTCATATATCTGAAACACCCAAACAAGTCGTTCTTGTGTGCTGCCTATGTTATTGACCTGTGTTTGTGGTTTGCAGGTGCTGCTGGTGTATGGTTTGGCTTTTATGGTCATTCTTCCTGTGGTTGTGGTGAGATACGTCTTTTATTACTAGAGTTTCTTTGAAATCTTACAGTTAAAGCCTGTGTTTACCTTAATAAATTTTGTCAGTGCAAATAGTATATATGTATACGTCTGTGTGTTTTAGGGCACGTGGTGGTACCGTTCTATTCGCTACAGTGGTGATCAGATCCTCATTAACACAACTCAGCTCTTCATGCACTTTATGTACAAAACACCCACCATGAACATGAAACGTAAGTACACATTTCTACTATTTGTGTCCATGAGGGGATCAAATTTGATATGTTGGATAGAACTACAGCATCTGTAGAATAATATATGTGTATATATACACACATAAATAAAGTAAGAAATGTAGTTTCCTCTGGAAAGGTCAGTTCTTTTGTTTTTGCCAACACTGAAGACATCTGGGTTTGCGATCAAAAGGTAAATATCAGACAGCAGATCAGAATTTCAGCTTTTAATTCTTTGTATTTATATTTAACAGCCTGGAGCATGGCACCTTTGGTTGTAGTCCACCCAGATGCTTTGTTTGCCATAACTGCCTCAAGTTGGTGACCCACTGACAACACCAAACTGTTGCATTCTTCTTCTGTGATGCTTTTCCAGGCTTTACCACACTTTCTTTTATTTGTTGTTTTTGCGGGGTTTCTCCCTTCAGTCTCCTCTTCAGGAGGTGAAATGTATGCCCAATTGGGTTAAGGTTTGATGATTGACCTAGGCAGTCTAAAACCTTCCACTTTTTCCCCCTGATGAAGTTCTTTGTTGTGTTGACAGTGTGTTAAAGGTCATCGTCTTTCTGCATGATGAAGGCCCTTCAGATTAGATTGGATGCATTTCTTTGTAAATTGGCAGACTGAATGATTCATTCTGCTGCTACCATCATGAGTTATCATCAGTAAAGATTAGTGAGCCTGTTCTAGGAGCAGCCATATAAGCTCAAGCCATGACACTACCTCCACCATGCCTGACCGATGAGCCCATATGTTTTGAATCATGACCAGATCTTTTCTTTCTCCACACTTTGGCATTTCTATCGCTTTGGTAAAGATTGATTTTGGTCTCATCAGTCCATGACTTTTCTTAGCAAATTCCAATCTTCCAATTCTTACTGCTGATGAGTGGTTTTCATCTTGTGGTATGGACTCTATAGTTCTGCTATCAAAGTCTTCTTCGAATGTTGGATTGTGATAACGTCACCCCTGCCCTATGGAGATCATCGGTAATGACTGTTATTTTTGGGTTTTTCTTCACAGCTCTCACAATGTTTCTGTCATCAACTGCTGTTGTTTTTCTTGGCCAACTTGGTTGTTAGTACACCAGTGGTGTCTTTCTTTTTCAGTACATTCCAAATTGTCATAATGGCTATGCACAGTGCTAATGCAATGGCTGTTTTTTTTTTTTCACCTCTTTCTCTCAGCTTCAAAAATGGCTTGCTTTTCTGCCATATACAACTATCTGGTGTTCGATGGTTTATCTTTTTCACAACAAATGCATTCTTCAAAGGTGGAACTCAGGGCTCAAACCAAGAGTAGACATCCAGAGCTACTGTTTAAACAATCAATCTATCAGGACCTTGGCAGTGAGAAACACTCGTCAGTCCAGTATTTTTGGTCAGCTGAAAAATTTGTGGGTTCAAACAAAAGTTACTATGTTCTAGGTTGTCAATATCAAGTTTCCTGTCGGGTTCGAGATGTTTTTCACATACAACATAGGGCTTGGGTCAAGCTTGTGTGTGTGTTTTCTTTTCTTTAATCATTCATTAGGTTTAAATATAGTAAATTTACATAATAGATTTTGCACACTTTCACACATCCTTAAACTCTCTCGCTTATTAGTACAGTATAGTATGTGTACTATGTACTAACTGTTCACCATGGATGAAGTAATGAACAGGATGTTGCATCAGATAAAAAGCACCGTGGTCATGTTCAGTGTGGAGCGTCAGTATTTTGAGCTGTGGATGCAGCCGTTCTGCAGCAGCCAATAGACAGAAACAAATGTCATGGTCAGAGCACTTCCCTTGCACTAGCTAAACCTACAGCAAAAGCTCAGCTTTCAGATAAATGCGAAGTCTCAACTCAAGCACTGTAAAACTGCGTCTGCCATAATCCATCTTTTGGTGTGCACACGTGGGTTTGCAGTACCCAAATTGGGCCTGATTGAGTTGGAGTGTCAGAATTGCAGGTATGGTTTGAGTTCAGATATCAGTTGCATGCCCATGCAGACCTCTTTGTGTAATGCCAGTATATTCTGGGCTAATTTAAATCTTTTGCACTTACAGTTGTCCCAGACGTGGCTTACTTAAGTTCTGTAAACTCTTAGCAGCATCAAAGGGAATACATTTAGGAAGTTGTACTTGTTGTAATTTAAATACTGAAATCACACAGTAAATAGCTTATGGGACATGTGTTAAAGATATGAATGAAAAACTGGGATTATAGTGCTGAAATATTTTTTTGCTTAAAAGCAGTGCACAGCTGGAACAACAGTTCTTCTCATCCTTTTATGGACATAGGCCACATACTCTATACCATTACTGTTATTCTCAGGGCTGCATCGATTATGTGAGGGGAAATTGTTTTTTTGTATTATTAAAAAAAAAAACAAAATGCTGTATAATGTTAACATGTGGGTTAATACTGACAAATTTCAATACACTCAAAACTTAGACTGCATGATATGGACGAAAAATGCAATGTTGGGTAGAGCTGCTGGATATCACAATGACAATATGAGAAGTGATAACTTTTCGTTAAAATAGTTTGTGAGTAGATGTGAAGCAAGTACAGACCTTTTTGTTTTCTTTTTTGGATGTGTAAATGGAAATCTGATTACCTTCTTCTTTAAGCAAATGGCAAAAATAGAAAATTACATAAGCACCTTTTACTATTGTGAAATGAAATACTAACAGCTACTTACATCAGAACTACTTTTTGTGCACTTAGAAACAGTCATCATTACCTTAACAGCTTTTTCTATGAAAACTATAAAAACACTCATTTTTACATAGGTACACAAAAAATGAATATATATTTTTGTTTTTTCATGCATTTTATTTAGTTATTTAATACGTTTGTTGTGACAGTAGCCATTACTGCCTTGCACACTTGACACAATACTGGGTGTGAGAACACTCCTAATGTCTGATGCATTTTTACAGGCCTGTAGTTCAGGATGGAGTAGTTTTTGAGCTGTGCACCTGAGTGTTTTGTAATTGCCTATTTAGCCAACTGGTTAAGTGACTTGTCCCCCACATTGGAGAGCAGGGCTCAAGCCTAGCATAGAGGAGGCTTCTAATGGTTTGTGCCGGCAATTCAATCTCTCTGGCGCTGGGTGTATGAGGTAATTTGATCTGTTCTGTCACGGCATCTCTAAACAATGTGTTTATTGTGGAAACTAATATCGTGATAATGACAAAAATATGATTTATTGTGCAGACTTACTCCAAACACACAGGGGCAATGTTGTTTCAGTCATTTTTCATCATAATAAGTAATTTGTGGCACAGAGAGAGTTTTAAACAATGGCAGCAAATGAAGATGAAGTCAAGGAAGCAAGACCCACGGAATTCACAGCAAACAAAGCACAAATTAAATAAAACTAAAGCAGCTAACGAGAGTTCCAACACATTTTCTGCTCCCGTTGATAGTTGGTAATGTACCTAGCTGGTAATGTACCTTTATGTATCTAGCTTAAGTGGTTAATGCAGTGTGATGATAAGCTACATGTTGGAAAAGAGAACATCCCATGGAAGAGGTGAGAGGGGTATTAAGTACAGTGTGGTATAATTACTGATGTACCAGTTCAGTAATGAAATGGTAAGGCTGCAGACTTAACACCTTCCAGTTGTCCTGGGGAGTAAAAAAAAAAAGTGCACGAGACGATGTTAAATCTGTTTTAGGATGCTAGCAGAGCAGCGAAATTGCACACTTAAAATCTGCGAAATATACAGCCATGCAATTACAAATGTGCCAGTTGTTCGTGCCAGCCATAAAAATAGCAATGATGAATGCAGAAACCTTTAGCCAACAATGTATCACATGTCTGAGGCAGACATAGCCTACTCAGAGTCGTATAAACAGTGTCAAAAATGTGAAATAGAAAAATGATTGAATGTGTGCTAGAATGAAAAAAAAAAGAAGCATAATGAGTTGAAAAATAAAAATAGCCATTAAATCATAAATGGTACTTGTTATTTCTTTTGTTAACTATTTTGTGACTCTTTTAAATGATTAAAATAACTCTTCATTTAACTCTTGTATTCATTTTATACTTTTGAATGAGCAAAATATCAACTGAGAAATCAATGTAAACAAAAGTTTTTTAATATTTAGAGGGTGAGTTTTCAAATTTGTATTATTTGTTCCATTTTAAGGGTACTTTTCAGAGAATGCTTTTGTTTGTTTTATCGAAGAAATAGTTGATAGTTGATAGGTTAACTGATTTTAGAAATAATCGTTAGCCCTACTCACAATATTGTTATTGCCCAAATATTTTACTTCAGTACATTTTAACATTATGGACTGTGTCTAAAAAATGAGCCTGACCAGCACTGCTTTGACTCAAAATCTGAACTGACATCGCAGAATGTCTTTATTCAGCCTGATAACTGACTTCTCCAGGTAGCCCACAGAAACCTGACCTTACTCAAACTCCACCGCAGTGTCATTTTTCTTTCCGCAGTGTCTTTATTACTGTCTTTAATATCAGAGGAGTACTTGGCCATCACCTTGACCAAACAGATGGTCTCCTTTCTGACTCTGCTTTGCATCTCTCCTCACTGTTTCACAGGGTTAGTGATGGTGCTGACAGCGGCGTTCGAATTTGACCCACGTAGCAACAAAGAAGCTATTATAAGACCAACAGACAACATTGAAGTTCCACAGGTAGAGGACACTGTTGTTACATGAGAAACATAATACTGGAATGTTATTAAGATAAAAGAATGCTAATGCTGAATATTAGTAGGGATGTATGTTGATATCGGAATACTGTCTGTATCGACAGGTATTTGCTTAAATAAAATTGGCATTAGACAGAAGAGCATTTAGGCGATGCTGCACTTCTGGCTAAAATGTCTGCTTCTTATTTGTGTTTCTCTGCATTTACAACCACTTGCAAGTAAATATTATAATTCTTTGTAACTCTAACCCAAATGAGTCTAGTCCCAACTTTAACATTTATCTATTAGCATCAGTAGATACATAATATAATATTAGATACTGGCTAAGTAAAAGTCCCATATCTGTGCATCCCAAAATATTAGTTCAGGTTTATTAGCATGTTAATTGAAAGCTGTATAGATCATTGAGCATGTTGTGTTTGTAGCTGATTCGGGAGCTGGGGAACATCAATGTGAAGAAGAAAGAGCCTCCATTCTGTTACCCCTACAGTCTGAAGGCCCGTGTCCTTGTGCTCACACACCTTGCTCGGATGGAGGTGTCTGAGAATATTGAAGAAGGTAAACATGAAAATCTCTCACCTAGGCAATGCATTCAAGAACCTCCATGCTCTCACTATATTTGTTTGTTCATAGTCTTAAAAAGTGAATATCAAGGTGTTTTTCGCAGTTCTTGGTGTGCTGCAAGGTTTCAGGCAATTTTTCTTTTTTACTCACAGCTATTTATGTGTCTGTCTTTCAGATCAGAGGTTTGTAGTGAAGAAGTGTCCTGCCTTGCTTCAGGAGATGATCAATGTTGGCTGCCAGCTCACAATGATGGCCACCAGCAGAGGAGGTATGTGCACACAATCATAAGATCGAACTGGCAGTCAGACATAAAGTATAAAGCCTTTCTAGTTATGTTTATTTTTTATTTTTTATGTTTGTCATTGCTTAGACAGGAGGAAAAATGTGCTAAAATATGGTGTCCATGCACTGCTGTGAGTCACCCTGTAAAACCTGAATTAGTATTTTAAGAGACAGAGGCGTCGGGTCAGATTTTGCCGGAGTTTTAGACCATGTCCTTCATCTTTTTAGATTAACATCACATGCACAGGCCCAGAAAAAATGTCTGGCTTGATGTTTTGTTCTCAAATGCAAAATCAACATTATAGTGATAAAGATATGATGACAATAGTAGATAATTCGCTTGCGTCCTCAGAAGACACATCCTTCACCAAGTTGTGCCTCTGTTGTCTTTGAATACAAAGCACTTGCAAACATCAGATTCATCCGCTCAGGGAAGGGGTCTGGAGCATATGTTAAAAAGATGTTAAAATGTTCTTCCCCATGTTGTGTCCAGTTACCCATTTCCATCAGAGAGATCTCCCAATCCCTATATTTTACATTTTTACATTTTTTTGTTTTTGTTTTTTTGCAGGTTTTCGTGCTCCTAGATTGACCTCTATAGAGAACTGTATGAAGCTGAGTCAGATGGTGGTTCAGGGACTACAGGAGGCCAAGTCTCCTCTACTGCAGCTGCCCCACTTTGAAGAGGAGCACCTCAGATACTGCATCTCCAAAAAGGTACCCATAAAACACATCTCTTGAGTTTTATTTGGTGATTAGAATTTGTTCATTGTTGATATGTTCTGGCTTTCTAAGGCTTTTACTGAAATGGTTTCAGAACTCTATTACATATGTCAGCCATTTATGGAATTTCTGAGTGAGTTTTGAAGGAACTGAAATATCCTATAATTCTATACTCCTATAAATAAGCCAGATAACACAATGTATAAACAGTGCAAAACATGCTAACAGTTGTACTTTATCTGATTACCTGAGTCAGGGATCTTTCTGCAGTCTCACATTCCCACCTTCTCTGTAGTCACTCACAGTCTGATTTAATGTTAGTTTGTTATTGAGGGAGCGAACATTAGAGAGACATGGAAGGAACCGCCAGTCTTTTGGAGCAACAATAGCTTTTAGCTTCGGTTAAGCCTTCAGCATAATGGTCAGCCTGTGCCTGCAGTTAGACAATGACATCTGGTCTTACGTCATCATTTTTATAGACATGCATGCACTGCCTTTACCATGTAAAAGTAGAATGTCTAATATCAGGATTTATAGGCTACTCAGATTAGGTTATTATCAGTATTTATACTTGATATTGGCTGACACTTAAGGATCAGTTATCTGTAGGGGGAAAGCACTATCCATTTAAGTCACAGCTTTTGTGTATCTCATTGTCTGTCTGTTTATTAGTCAGTTAATTATTCTCACTCTCAATTACTTTCTCAGTATAAGGTGCGGAGTATTCAAGATTTGGTCAGTCTGAAGGACTCTGACAGAAGGAACATGCTGAGGTTTCTAGGAGAAGAGAAGTATGATGAGGTCATGGCCGTTCTTGGAAGCTTCCCCCACATTACCATGGATACCAAGCTTCAAGGTTGGGGTGATCTGCATTGTTGACTGTGTCCAACATTAAGGAATATTAGAAGGGAATTTAAAATGTGTGTATGTTTGTGTATCATTCCAGTGCTTGATGATGAAGACAGCAATAACATCACAGCAGGGTCCATTGTCACGGTTACAGTTACCTTGACGCGGAAGAAAATGGCTGTAAGTAATACATTTGCATGCACTGTTGAGTCGCATTCTTGTCTAATGATTAGCCAGCAGGACAAATATCTGGATTCTTACAGTGTTGACAAATAGGGCTGCAGTTTGCCACTTGTGGTTTGCTTTCAGCAAGTGCAAGCTCATTTTAATCACACCAGGGGCATTCAGCCTCAGGTGAGCAGTAAAGAGCTCTGGGCAATGTTTTGCACACTGCAGCCATTCTAGACTCTATTAATTTTTCGGGCATACTTGCAGTTATAGGTGGTATCCACAAGAGGTCAGTGTAATGTTTTAAGCACATTACAGTAACCTTTGTGAAAGCATTTTACTCTGAAAACCTTGGTGACTAGCTTAATAATTTCTTACTCTTCACTCATTCACTTCATTCATACATGTGTGTTTGTGTTCTTGTCCAGGAGGTCTTTGAGAAGGAGCAGGACCCTCAAGCACCTGCAGAAGAGACCAACACGGAAGAGGCAGTATGTCTGGTTTAATAATTATTCAAACATTTCTGTATTTATTTAATTAATATTAGTACAGTGGCATAGGTAAGGTAGCAGGTATTTTTTTTAAATATCAGATTAAATAGTCTAAAATAGGGCTGAATGATGTCCCAAAAGTTTCCATTAATTTAGTTGTTTTTTATTTCACAATATTGTCTTAATGAGTTCAAAGTAAGGAAACTTACGTCAATGTTGTGGCGCTCTTGAACTGACAGTCTGGCACACTACATTCAACGTCTGGAAAAAATAGATATGGTGGTCTTCTTGGTGGGGGGGAAATAAGGCCTGTAGCTTTATTTATAGAAGATGATCACATTTTAATCACAAAATTGCAAAATATTGCAATTAGATATCTTTCCCAAATTGTTCAGCCCTAGTCTAAAATCGTCATTTATGTTGATTTATGAATTATTTTTTTTTTTTGGTCATTTGTAGCAAGGTGACGCTGCTAAAAACAAAACTAAAGTTTGGCAAAACAAGAATAAAGGAGCTAAGAAAGCAGCCAAGTCCAAAAAGAAGAAACTGACAAAGAAAAGGCCGGTCTCCCAGCAGCAGGCCAAGGGAGACAAGGCCAAACAGGCCAATGGCAACGTCGCAGGAAACGTAAGCAATCGTGAAATATACATTGCCAGTTGTCCACTTCTGGTTCATGGGATATTAAAATGGCTGCTCGTGTGCCTTAACACAGGAAGTGGCTGTAGTAGCAAAAGAGGAAGAGGAGGACCTTTCTGACAAAGGCAGTGAATCGGATGAAGCAGAGGGAAACAAGGACTCGCCCAGCGAGAGAGACGAGGAGAGTGACAAGCAGAGTGACACTGAGGTTGATGAGATCACAGGAGATGATGAAGAGGTGTGTTTGTTTTTTAAATTAATCATTAGTCTAAAATTATTGTTTGCTATGTGTTTAGTTTATGTTGCTTATTTATTAAAATGTTATTTTACAGTTACATACTGTAGTGGCATAATAAGTTACATGTGCATTTAGTTTGCATTCTGTATAGACACATTAGGGAATTGCTCCACTTCTTTCAATCAGTTAAAAGTGAAAAGTAATTAAACAAAAAGTAAGAAGAGGCGTTTCATGGCATAGACCCTCTGGGGGAGCTTGAAGGTTGATGACTGTTGATGGTTGTTGAAAGCTGTGCAGATGTGTAATAAAAGTCTTTTTGTCTGTCTGTGTATGACTTGTAGGAGTGGGAGGCTCTGCAGCAGAGTATCCAGCGCCGTGAACGAGCGCTGCTGGAGACCAAGTCCAAGGTCACACATCCAGTCTACAGCCTGTACTTTCCTGAGGAGAAGCAGGAGTGGTGGTGGCTCTACATCGCTGACCGCAAGGACCAGACACTTGTGTCCATGCCATACCATGTCTGCACACTCAAAGACACAGAGGAGGTGAGAGAGAGAGAATGGGAGAATGTAGTAATGGGCAATATGGAGAGAAAATGTATATCGTGGTGTAATTAAAATTTCTACACATAACAGTTTAGTGGAGGTGGGCAATATAGCAAAAATATCATTTTATAATATTTAAAGACATTCTGACGATGCACGATACTTTGACACACAGACATTGCGTTAGTGATTTAACTTTAATGTTTCATATATAGTGCTGCTCTAAATCCACTTAAAATTATGATCTTGTAGTGATGAAACCATTTTACCTGCTTATCCTTGTGTTTGGATTAAAAAAAATTGCTATTTTGTAGGTTGAGAGTGCATCATTTATTATGGAATGTGTATTCACTTCTAGTAATAACCATGTTTAACAAAATCGCAATGAAAAGTAATATGCAAAATATGTAAAATAGTAAACTTAGAACTATACAATATATAGAAAAGTAGTGGTGCTTATGCATTAGCACTCAACACCTCCTCAAGCTGGGCAAAATTGCTGCTTCACGTTCATGTCTGAATTTCTGAAGTCATTTCTCATACCTGCGTTCCATATGTAAGTAGGGTATTCTTACATATACAACTCTGCTGGAATTTGGTAAATATTCAAGTTGTTTGTGCTATCTCTACCAGCTGTGATGCTGCTTGTTGCAGCATTGCCTGATGCAGCTGATTAAGTGAGGCAGAAACAGAAGTTCTGCTAGTGGGCTACTATTCCTCATGTTTATCTCTGTAATGGCTGCTCCATTGATAACAGACTGGTTTAGTATTACCTCAGACTGCAGGATCAGAGAAGCTTTCTCTTCAGGTTAGAGTTAACTTCGCTGCTCTATGCTAACTTTTATTTTTTTTTTTTTACTGTAACGAGTCACTTTGAGGTGAGCTGAAGTTCAAAAGCACATTAGCATTTATTTTCAGTTCCATTCACGTTAAGTAAATTAAGGGGAATCTGAATTAAAGCTAGCTACTTTAAAAAAAAAAAACTATTGAAAGTATTCAATGTAGTGAAGAATAAAGTAAAGAGAAACTCAAGTGGGGGAAATGCATGGTAAAGTCTGATCAGTGAAAGACAGGCTCTGAGAACATGGAGCACGAAATTTGAACCTGACGCGTTAGATGAATGACATCCGAACATGACTGAACTCCACACGAGCACCCGTGTCTTGTCAGGTTCGGACAAATATTTGAAGCTCTGTAACAGGTGAACCGGTATTACCACTCACTTTAAGTATAGGCTTTAAGCATCTTGTTGATCAGAGCTGTCATTGTAAATTGTATCTCGTTTAGAATGAGCCTTAGTTCCACCTCAAACATCAGACCTTGAGTGTCTGGTTTTGGTAAGAATGAGGATTACCAGTTGAATCTGTACTGTGAGAAAGATCTCAGGATGTTAGAAATAAAATGTGTGCTATAGCTAGTGGCCTATCCTGGACAAGCACAATATCAGTTCAGCTGTCAAACACAATTACCAGTCTGTTTGACAGAATAGGGATGGATTGTGTGTGCATGTGTGTATGTGTGTTGTTGTTGTTTTCTATGCTTTAACCTAATGCAGTCTGTTTCCCAGTTTTTCCCCATCTGTTTCATTCAAAATAAAGAGGGACCATGGCAAGAAGCAATTAGTCTGCATGGTTGTGTCTAGCAATCTCTTCATTAGCAGATATGAATAAGTTTGCTTAGTGTGGTTTAATTATAGTGTGGATTGTCTGACTGTCTGTATTGTGTGTGTGTGTGTGTGTGTGTGTGTGTGTGTGTGTGTGTGTGTGTGTATTTTATTTTTTACCAAAATGCTCTTGCAGGATGTTATTTCACTAATTTTGGTGGGGGAGGGTATTACGGCGTAATTGTAGATTGTTTGAATGCATTAGATTAAAAATGAATGCAAAGGGTTGAATGTGCATACAGTCTGAGAAAATGTGCCTGTCATGAAAATAGAATGTGTTTGTGTGCGTGAGCATTATTATAAGTGTGTGTGTGTGTGTGTGTGTGTGAGAGAGAGAGAGAGAGAGAGAGAGAGAGAGAGAGAGAGAGAGAGAGAGAGAGAGAGAGAGAGAGAGAGAGAGAGAGAGAGAGAGAGAGACGGACAGAATGATGCGCGCTGCATCTCCTCCACAGCAGCTTTCCCCATAGCCTGTTGCCAGGCAACCTCCATGCTGCAGTGTCTGCCTATTTAAAGGGCCAGTTACAGGGCAGTCAGATTTTGTGCCATAATTCACTCCCTCACATAAGCTTACTGTCTGCACTGAAAGTCAGGTTGAGTGACAGTATGAATGTCCTCTCATTTTGAAAGCAAATCAGCATGTTTGAGTGTACTGTGAGTCCTGATTTCATCATGTTGTAAGAATGAAAAGTCATGTTCGTAATGTTTTATTTTCCCAGGTTGAGCTGAAATTCCCTGCTCCATCAAAAACAGGAAACTACCAGTATTCAGTGATCCTCAGATCAGATTCCTATATGGGATTAGATCAGGTCAAGCCACTGAAGGTCAGTTTCTATGAATTTTCTGAAAGTGCTGGCATCTTGAAAGACCACACCCTCAAAATTAGGACTGCCTTGCTTATTCCGTTAAAAAAAAAACAACAAAAAAAAAAAACATTGATGAAAATGTACCTTCTGAAGAATTATGTGCATTTTTTGACACACAGATAAAAATCTGTGTAGATTTTTAGAAAAATGGTGAAAATGTCTTTAGCATGGCGCATCCTTACCACAACACTTTTTTACTGTTTGAGTATAAATGGAAAACAGCATGGATTATTGTTTTTTATTACGTGTTATTATTATTTTATATTATGTTTCCAGATAAAGTAGGTTTGTTTGTTGCTTGTTTATCCAAAATATACTGTAGAACATCCATACACATCTTTAATGAAGTCTAAACCAGGAAGGCATCCTAGTTTAAGAATTTTGGAAACTTTGAAAGGCCATGCATAATTTTTTTTTATTCTTCGGTTACATTTTTGTTGCCCTTTTAAAAGCCTCTGATTGTCAAAGTGATATGTAGATTATGTAGTCACTAATATAATCAACAGCAACTGCTTACTGTTTGCATTGAAAGTCTGGTTGGGTGACCGTATGATCTCCTCTCATTTTGTAAGCCAAGGATGTTTAAAAAAACAAGCATGTTTAAGTGTACTGCGAGTCCTGATTCCATTGTAAGCACTAGCTGTAGTGTCTCACATGGCCTGCTTGCATAGTCCTTCATTTCTGTTTAGGGATTTTATGTATGGCTAAAATTTGAGTATACATCTCTTTATTCATATAGTTATGTCAGATCAGTACATCAATTTATGAAAAGAAAGCTTTCTAGTTCTCAAACATAACTACCATGTCTGTGCAATCCCCAGTTGGAGGTGCATGAAGCGAAGGCCATGCTGGATAACCACCCACAGTGGGACATCCCAGAGACTGAGGAAGAGGAGGAGGATCAGGAGGACAGTGACGGCATTGAAGAGTCGGAGGAAGACGATGAAGACAACGACTAATCCAGCCAACCCACATGAACTCTAACTCGGTTCACGCACCCATGTGCCGCTCTCTCTCTGTCACACACAGACACACGAACACCTTCACAGACAGTCCAAAGCCACTGCCATACCACTGTAACTGCAAAAACAGTTTTTTTGAGATGGTATGGACTGTGATGACCCCTGCCTTGGTTCCAGACAAACGGTTGCGCACATGATTATGTTCTTCACATGTCCACTCATTGGACATGAGAGTCGGTTCTTTTTTTTTTTTTTAATGTTTCCATTATCTAAATGGCTGCGAGCTTGTGCCTGCAGCACCGCCGACACCACTACACCTCATCAGAGGTGTTTGACCAACTGCCGTTTAAGACAAATAAACAGACTGCTTCCCCCCAAAAAAGACACCTCATGATCATCATTTATTTCTGTCACATTTTATGCGTTGTGGGTTTTCCTTTCCCTCACATTTTTACTCCAAAGTAGTCCCTGAAATGTAGTTCCACTGGCTAGTGTGAGCTGGATTGAATAATGAGGTGCACCGCAGTGCTGTGGCTGTGTACAGGGAGCTGAGTGACAATGCAAATGGGGAACTCGAGGGGTAAATATTAATCATGCATCTCATTTTGCTCTAGTTAAAGGATGTGGAGGCTCTCCTTTTGCTCTCTTCCTATGAAGCTCAACACCCTTTACTTACAGTTCTTCTGTGCAGATGACTGATGATTCCAGACATTCCACAGCCAGATCTACAATGGAGTGTATGCTTGAATTTCAGTTTTAGTGTTTCTTTGTCCTAATACAAAGATAGACATGGCTGCTGTATTATTGCTTTTCTTTCTCACTTTTAGTGAGACCTTTCCTTCCCTTGCCCTCAAGAGATTCTGTTCAGTGGAAGATCTCAATGATTACTGAATGTCCAAAATCAGCAGGTGTTATTTAATTGCTTTTCTTTTTGGTGTGTGCATAAAGAAAATGCCCTTCTTTTGCTGACAGCACTCAAACATACTTAACTTAATGGCGCCAGAGCTTGAATTCAGCACAAGGGTGTGGAAATGGTAGGGCTTAGAGTCTGTTAAATTGGCAGTGCCGCAGAAAATGACAATTGACTTAAATGGAAGTCGGTAAGTTCAAGTAGATCTGTGGTGCTCTGACAATTCAACAAAACCATGAGATTTTCACTGCATTAGCATTATAATAAGTCTCATTTTCATCATTCATTTTGTATGATGCGTGTAGGCCTCAACCACAATTAAAGTATGTATGTCAGGTTAGATTGAAAAAGCTTTTTCCTCAGCATTTTAGTTCACATTCCACTTGCGTTAAAAGGCCTTAATCTCATCTTGAAGTCTGATGTTTAGTCGTAAGTTTGTTTTTTGGGCAATTTTGCATTGTGTTCCCCCTAATTTTGTTAATTTGGTAATTAACAATATGCTTGAATGCCTTTAAATGAGGACAGTGACTTCTTGCTATTTCTTTCTTAATTTAAAGTATGTTATAAATGACTCATGGTAAATGACCAGAGATCCAGACTGGCTATTTGAAAGCCAGTTATCCATTTTGATGTTGGAGAAGGTAATGTAAACAGTGGGTTACTTTTATTGCAAGATGGCCACCATTTGAAATCTTTTTGCCTTTGTTTCACATCACAGCTCATAGCCTTTAAGGCAGCGGCAGGCCAAAATTAGGCCCCTTTTAGGAATTTGCTACTTGTGGGAGATGACTAGTTTGACTACATTTTATTTTTTGATTATTTACATATTTCATTGTGTGGGAACGACATAATTTTGTTTTGTTGGGGGTTATTATTGACTAGGCCGAGGTGGCATACTGTCTTGTTTCGAAACAGTCAGTCAAGTGGTCTGCTCTATGTCAGCGGGATGGCCAGAGAGGGAGGAGTGTAGCTTTACAATCTGAAGAAGCTCTTTTTGTAGGCTGTGACATGTCTGTAGTGGAGCTGTGTAGATTACTAATGGGCTGGATGCCCCCAATCTGGCATCAGCCCCCTGCTGTTTTAAGGGCAGAATTTAGCCATCCTGTGGACTGGGTTCTTTTTATTCCTGTACTAAAAGTATTGTCTGTGTACAGACTTGTTTGATGGGTGCATGAGTTAGCAAGGCAGTTTTTTGAAAGCGTATTTCCGTTGTGGCCAGAGCGGCTCGGTCAGATCTGTTCATTTGAGGAGCTGAGGTACATGTTCTGCAGATAGGCAAGAAAATTGAATTGTAGAGATGTGTATCAGTTGTAATCTTTCTGTTTCATCCTATTATTTCAAATGTTCTCTTCCTTTTTTCCCGGTTATGAATTTGTCGCTGATACTGGATTCTGCAGGGGTCTTGATGAATTTCAGTGGCATATGTATGTATTTTAATTCTGTTTGGAAATTAACTAACATTTTGGTAAGTTTTTTTTTCTGTTGTTTTGGATTAGCGTTTGCCTAAGCATAATGCTTTGTGTTTTTTGAGAGAAAGGTAGTATTCTGGCTGCATGTAACACACGCCCACCCACCTCCCCACCCATTTAAATGATGCTCTACCAAACTGTTAACATTTCCCAGTTGGATAGATATTTTAGTGTTATTAATTCACAGAAGAATGTAGCATCAGTTAGAAAGCTGTGACTCGAAAACAAGATGAAATTAAGCCTTTGTACACACACACACACACACACACACACACACACGCGCCCATGCCCACACATCATAGAAACACACATTTACAGGCTGATAAAAGGCCAGACATGTATGACCCAGTGTATCAGCCCGGAAGAGAGGTGTATAGCCCAGTAAACCAGTATCTGCCACTTTTGTTTACAAGAAAACTCATTGTAAATGGAATATATATAAATATATTATTTGTATTTAAATCATTTCAAATAAAAGAACTTTTAAAATCAGCTTTTATCCCCCTTTTTTTGAAGATGAAAAATCAGATGCACCAGCCTAGTTTACACCTCTGTTTCTTAAGTTCACCATACAGCATAAAGAGGAACCAGTGATTTCTTTGATTTGATAAAGTAATGTGAATCAAATGCAGATAGGTGTGAGAGGTATTTCCACACTGAGAAGAAATACTTTTTTTCCCCTGTGCCCTCTTCCCTTAAGCAATTACTTAAAAATTAAGAACTTAATTTTCATGCAAGCTCACTTTAAAAGGTTTTTATTAGTCTCTTTTTGGGTATTTTAGCAAAGCCAGCTCTATTGATGAGTACTGCAAATGATTTGGCCTGGGTTTGCAAAATGCTAACCAGCACAGATTTGTCAGTTCCTTGCGTGTGTATTTGGATCATTTTAGACCTAAAATACACAGCTGTGATAAACAATAGCTTTATTTATTTATGTATTTTTTTTGTTGTTTTAAAAATTATTTTTAAAACGTTCAGCTACTGCCCTAAGGCCCATTATTTAACCGTTTATAATAATCACTTCTCACTTTCGATTATATAGATTTGTTTTTTCGCCTTTTAAAGGAAAACCCTTTTTGGACAGGAGTGGTGGACAGATCGCTTTGGGCTCAGGATCCCTTCATCCTGGGTGCCATAGCCTACTGAACAGGTGGCGATACATATTCAACACTCAGGCAGGACGCCGCTTTAATTACAAAATAAATTTTAAAAAATGTGAATTAATAAATATTGCTGTATTAATCATATTCAAGTCGAAGAGGGGAAAAAATAATTTAAACTGAGCCCCCTCGTGCGCCCATTCCTTCATTTTCCAGCGAAAGACAGACGTGAATCTCCAAACGTCCTTGGTATGTAGGTCAAGTCCTGCCTGCCGTTTCTCTAATCACTCACACGGCGCTCGCTGTGTAGCCTTAAAGTTTGAGGAGGCCGTGTATGAGGCTGGAGATCCAGCCTGGAGGAGAGAGTGTAATGCAGGAAGAATCGTAATGGGCGTCTAACGAAAAGCTGCAAGCTGAAGTAGCATTTTAGGCAGCCAGCTGAATAAATCCTCACAGCGGTTAGCCTGATTTAGCACGACAGCGGCGCGCTTTTGGTTAAGATTGTCATTTTACACACGCTAGAAACGAAGAGACTGGGTCGTAATGGCGTGAGAGGAGTTTATAAACCGGGTTAAAATAGCTGCGTTTTGTTCCGTTGGTCTGGTTATTTGTGAAGGAAAAGTCCGAGGATGCGGGGGTTGACACTGCAGATATTTTGTGACAAAGCTTTTCGCTCACCAGCTGTTGGACAAAAGTCACACAGGGTCTGAAATAATCCGCCAGTATGGAGTTGGCTGGTCGTTCAGAGAGAGAAAGAGAGAGCACTGCATACAGAGCTAAAGCGCAACTAAACACAGGCTGCGTCCAAAACCGCATAACTGCTGAACTACACATACTCCTCTAACGAACGGACTTCTAGTGGAGGTGTACTAGTTTTTGCATACTAATTAAATTGGTAGTATGTGGTTCTGCACGCAGCACCGGTTTTTCGCTGCTGAAGGGGAGGGGAGCGTTTCCAAACTAAAAACACAGAAGGGGGATTTTTCCTCCTGTCTTTCTGCTCTTACTCGCTGCAGACTGATGGGGAAAAATAATGTAGCTCAGGTTAATCGCTTTATAAACGGCTCTAATCGGGAATGTAGCGCGGGGAGGTTTCCGTACCAGCCTCTCTACCTGACCAAACCGAAATCCCGCGCGACCCTCCGTTTAATTAGATCCCCTGAGGTGTGGGTATTTAGCTTTCTGATAATGTATTTAGCTCTTTCCGGGGACCAAATATCCCCAAGATGGTGGAAAGTATGAACATTTTGACGTTATAGGGGGAGTAAATTTGGCTGTACTCCCCATGAGTAGTTATGTATGTATGTATGTATTTATGAATCAATCAGTCAGTCATTCAAAGATTACAGCTTTATTTGAACTATAAAAAATGGCACATTTCTTTTTCGGTACCTGAGGTTTAGAGGAGGGTTGGGTTAGCTAGGCTGTAGCAGAAGTCGTCAGTGGAAATACCCCACAAAGACAGCAATACAAACGCAAATACGCGTGCGTGTGTGTGTTTATGTGTAGGGGGAGTTGAAGCCGGAATCGGTGACGGCGCGCGGAGCGGAAAAGCGGGAAAAGGAACCCGGACAGTGTGTGGAGCTAACCGCGGGGAGATGAGAGACTGAGGTAAAGTAGAGAGGCTAAGTTTAAGATTGATGCTGCGTGCGCGCGAGTGTGTCTGTTTGTGTGAACTGAGGATCGCACGTGCTTGCGCGAGACCAGGCTCGAGCGCGACAAGTTGACGAACCGGAGCAGGACGAAGAGCTCGCGGCTGGTGCTGCTCACCGGCTGGATGTTATGGCTGAGAAATAGGCTGTTTAACACTGTTAAGGTATTTGAATGTATACTGATTGTTAGGGCTGGGCGATATGACGATACTATCATTATCCTTATAAATAAATGTTACAGTATGCTTCTCTGAGCATATCGTGGATATCGTCAAGACTTAAAGAGCGCTGACTACATGTTTCATTACAACGTCATGCTTCGTTACAGCATGTTCATTACAACGACATTTAATCCGGTTTAATTGGATTTAGCGCAGTGAAGTTTGTAAAACATTAAATAATCAGTGTATTATTATTATTATTATTATTATTATTATTATCGTTATTGTCATTTTTATATGTGGCATTACAACAATAATATTGAGATGCATATCATGTATCGCGAAAACTTCTGAAGTATCGTGATATTACATTTTTTCCATATCACCCACCTTTACTAAATGTTATGAATATGTTTGTGTTATGCAGAGTGGATTCAGATATCAGATATTAAGGGCCACTTGGATAAACTCCTGTGTTCTAATTTTAGCTGAAGCTCTGATGCTTCCTTGTGTATGAGCTGTTATAAATTCTGTTCACTTACTGTAAAAACTGTAACCAAAGCAATACTTGTTGCAGGCTAATATGGAATATCTTGGAATTTATTATAGTAGGAAATTGGGTATTATATACAGGGCCTGTGACTGGCAAGTCTCAAAATATCTAATGCCTGAATTCACTTTAGTTCAAAGACCTTTTTTAATGTCCAATATTCAACAACAAGGTATACCTTGATATTTAATACACAACATTGTGATCCTGGTCGCTTTGAAATACTGACACTGCATTTTAGACATTTTCAAGTAGCTCTTGTTTCACAAGTTCCCACTATGCTCTCACATTGTGATTCCATGCTATATTTGATGTTTATAGCTGTTTTAGAATCTTCACAGCTCATGGTAGAGGTTGCAGTGCTGTACAGATGTGCTAGCTGGAGTACCAAGTCAACCATCCAAACCCGAAAAAAAAATAGGGGGGACATGAATGAAGACTGCTGTTCCTTTTATACAGAGTGCCATCAAGGAAGTTTTTTCAAAGATAAAAACCCCCAGAAAGTAAAAGCTCCAGCACATTACTGCTTTTAAAATGACATTCTGAATACTCCATGTATGTAGGTGTATTATCTTATACATATATATTTTTCTTAATGCAGTGACAAACGATTAGGCAATTATCGTGGTGTTAAATTTTTTAATCGGGGCACGTCTAATTTATATGCTAATCTCAGACTTGGACTGATGTTGAGAGTTTTAAGCGTATATTAGGACTCCCTCTGCGAGGCACCAGTTGCTGCTGTCTGCTCCAAAACTTAAGAGGACCCACATCATAGAAAACTGAATTCTCCTGGCTTAGTTGAAATAAAAGAGCCTGATGTATGTTCACACAGTCCAGCTAAGCCAGTTTTGAATAAACTGTTTTCATGATGTCACAAAAACCAACACATTTATATATTTCCGCCTGTTTAGCCTACAGCAATTTAACTCCACCCACCAAGGTTATAAAATGTTTTTCACCCTGGAGTGCTTTTTGAATTAGGCACAGTAAGAATCAGCCAGTCAGAATGGAGGTCATGTGCAGTCGTGTGCAAAAGTTTTAACACCCCTGGTCAGATTACATTTTGTTGATTTTCCATAATCTTTGGTCAGACCACAATTTAGGTTTTATTTTTTTCCTATATGTTAAATTCAGCAAATCTACAGTAATTGTGCAGTAGTGTCTTCTGTAGAGGATATTTATTTTTTTCACTTAGAAAATCAACAAAACTTGCCATGTGACCAGGGGTGACAATACGACTGTACGTATATCAGTCTTAAAAGCATAGTAACACAAACAGCCTCTTTTATTCTAAAGGATAAAGATAGGCTGATAAATAAATTGGTCATGTAACATAAAGCCACATAAATAAATATGTGGACCTCGGTGATAAAATACAAGAAAATATAGTATATATGCCCTTAAAAATAATAAATAATGGCCATTTTGTATGTGATATGTGTGAGAAACAGATGTGTTAAGACTTACATGAATAAGTATAATCAGTGAGGTTGTTTTTGTGTAGAAAGCTGTGAACTCTCTCGGGACAGTACATGCCCCACCTGCACTGCTGCATTTGCCTCGTCAACAATTCCCAGTGTGACGCGTAGGCCTCTGCTCACGGCTGGCAGAAACCATTGTGAGGAGGGCATAAGACATGCTTTTCAGACTATGGTGCTTAAACACACTCGCTGAGAGACTTTGGTAATTTTCAAGGTAACTTTGTTTCACAGGAATGTGGCATCCAAAACAATACTGCGTGGTGATGATTCAATATGGAGATGTCTTTGGTGAGGAGTGAGGCTGAGTGTGGCCAAAATAGTGCCCATTAGATAGAGATCAGCATTCTGTGTTCATTTTGTCTTGCTTGCGCACACACACACTGTGCAGTGGGGTGTGTGAAGAGACCCTCAGGCAGCTTGCCAGAGTGTATAAGGGGATACGCAAAGTCTTTATTATTGGACCAAACAAGCCACTAGAGATGGGATGTGTTGTGTTTACAAGGTTTGGAAAACAAGCCCTAGTCATGAGGTGCTCTTGAGCCATCCAAAAACAAGATTAAATGTTTATAGTTATAGTACGCACCATATGGGTAAGGACCACTGTCCCTCCAAGAGGAGGGGTAAATAATTAACTCCTATTGACCTTCAGGCCTGTTCTCTGATAACAACGGTATGAGTGAATCTCACACTGTTCTCCAGTCTGGAAATACTCCTGAAACATCATGTCTGGGCCAAGGAGTGGGTAATTGTGTGCGAGGCTAGTGAGCTTCTTCATGTGTACTGGAAAATATGTAAATTCTGAAAGCCCTGATTGGGACTGGAAGAAGTGGGGACATTTTGATCGTATTGCATTTACTGACCACTTTACTAGATGCACCTACCTTGCTGGTACACTTTCTAAGTGTACAGTTGGAGATTTACAGCACATCTTTTATTATGCACAGTTTGTGTGGGTTATCTTCTAGCCCTTAATTGGTGGTCAGTTTCTGACCACAGGATTGCTGTTTTGGCTGAAGCTCTTACCCAGAGGAGCTTACAGTTTAAACATGTTACAGAGAAGAACAGGTGAATGTAGTGTTAGGAGTCTTGCCCAAGGATTTGCATTTGCAAGCCCCAGTCTGCCACATGGACCAAAGTGGTGGTATTCACTGTGCTTTATAGAGCTGACTGATTTTATTGTTTTTATATCGAAATTGCTATCTCAAAGAGTTTTCAAACGTGAGAGATTTTAATTGTAACTGTATCCTACATTTTTTTTTAAGTTTTAACTGTAGCCTAATAATGCAGAACTTACTGGCAATCTGGCAAATTACATTCAATGCTCAAGCCTCAAGTATTGAAACAATGAATGTGTTGATGTTCTTGGCAAAAAAGGCTACAGTGTTTAAATTTCATTTGCAATATTGGTCAGAAAATTTGAAATTAGACATTTTCCCTAAATCGTTCAGTCCTACTGCTATTCTAACCAAGTAGTGGTTGTATATTTTTTGGTTTGGTGGACTGTCTGTTCAGTGGTGGTGATATAGTGGTCTCTTTCCATTGATAGATGGTGTAGAGAGGGGTAAGGACCACTATAGGACCACCACTTACCAGATACTATTTTGGATGGTGGAGGATTCTCAGCACAGCAGTGATACCAAAATGGTAGTGGCATATTATTGTGTGTTACACTGACATGACTTTATCATTGCTGGGTTTTTTAAACATTGTGCACACTTACTATACAATATATTAGACACACCTACCTTGTTAGATACTATAGCTCATTTTTTCATGCCCAGTTTGTGCCAGTCATCCTGTAGGCCAAGGGTCATCAACTGGCGGACTGTGGTCTGAAGTATTTAATTGGGCCAAATCAAGCACTTAAAAAAAATTGAGTCTCTTCAGAGTTCATGACATTAGTTAAAAGTAGAGATGTTAAGATCCCTGCAAAACAAAACAATCACTTCAAATGAACAAACTGGCAAAATTCAGTTTTAAAGATGATTTAAGCCAATGGCCAAACAATTTTAAAATGCTCATTAGATTATGAAGGTAAAATACAACAGTTTATCAAAATATATTTGAGGTGTCTTATTTTATTAATTGGCTGAACTGTTCATTAGTCATTGAGCAATTATGTAATCACTAACCACTGGTAACCATTTGCTATTCACTTATATCGGTTTGTTTACCTTTGTAAGCAAAAAACATGATCTAACTTGACCATCACAATGTTTAGCAGAATAGCTCTGCTGTAGGCCTTTGTCAATGGTCAGTTTTTGCCCAAAGGACCACTGTTGGCTAGATATTTTGGGTTGGTGGACTGTTTGCATCTGAGCAGTGATGCTGAAGAGCTTACAAACACCAGCAACACTGCTGTGTTTTATAGACTGGTACACAAATACTATGTCAGTGTCACTGCTGGGCTGAGAATGGTCCACCACCCAAATAATCCTCAAATAGTCCTCTGGTTATCCCTTTCTGTTAATGAATGTGGTAGAGGGCAGCTGACGAATTGGGCAGCAGTCAGTAATTGTATACCTATAAAGAGCACATAGGTGCACCACATATGGTGTGTGTGCCTGATATTCCATGGGGTGTCTCTGTTAATTTGTATACTGTCTGTATGGGGGAAGGGATATCTGATAAAATAGCCTATACGTGTAGGGACAAGGTACCTGATAACCTAAGACACTGTAGGATCATTCAAAAGATTTGTGCCATGTTCACCATTGTTGAACTATGCATTGACTTAATCTAGACTGGCAGTCAGATTTGATTATTTTGTTCATGTGCAATATGTTCCCAGTTATTACCGGCATTCAGCCACATCTTTTCAGTTCCAGTTTGTACAGTTGTATGCAAAAGTTTGATCACCCTCAGTCAAATTACATGTTTTGCTGATATTGAAGTGAAAATATCCTTTACAGGGAGCAGTTTGTACAGTTGTATGCAAAAGTTTGATCACTCCCAGTCAAATTACATGC